AGGCTGGGCCAGCCAAAGAGCCTAGACAGTTTAGTGCTCAAGACTTGAAAGGACTGAGCATATTCATAGGGGCAATTGTGAAGAAAAAAAACAGCTATAACTTTGCGCAGAAGGGGTAGCTATAAGGGTTTAATGAATTGAAAGACTGCTTCAAATGAAATTATGTGTAAAGTTCTTTATGAATTCCCCTTTATTTGTTTGTTTTTCTTTTGTTGGTGGGTGGGTAGGCAGGGGTGGGGGACTGATAATTTCTAGACATAAAAAGGGTGTATGAGAAGTAAATGTTTGGTTTAATCTTGTAAATGTTAAAATAAATAAATAAATAAAAATAAAAGAAAATAAATCTTGTGAAATTTGGGTAGGATAACTCACCCAAAAATTGACACTGACATGTGTATGATCTGATGAGGCAGGTAGTAAGGAGTACAAAGATATTTTCAATGAAAGAGCAGCCTTCACATATTAAAGTCCTTTAAATCATTTTTTTTATGCATGTTCAAGGATGATTAACAATGCCATATGATACTGACCTCTTCCATATTGGTGGTCTCTCTCTCTTTTAATAAGAGGAGGAATAGAAGTTTCCTTGACGATTCTTTTCCATTTTGAGTTAAAAATTAGAACATTCTTAGTTTTATTGAAATTTTATATTCTGTGAGAGGTTCTTAAATGTCATTATCTTTTGTTAATCTCATTTTTGTGATTTATATGGAACACCAAAGGTATCATAATCAAGGTGGGTCTCTCTTATTTTATTATCTTTTCTGGGCCCCTCTCATTTGATCATCTTTTGGAGAATGTGACATGGAATAGTAAACGACAAAATGAATGCCCTTTGAAAGAGCAACTTTCTCCATCAAACCCCACCACGTTTGTCTCAAACCGTATATGTTTTGGCCAATTCTTGACCACATTCATAACCAAAATAGACATCTAAACTTTGGACATTATAGAAGCCCATGTCAGGTCAAAATTTGCAGAAATTAAAACCAGTTTGGGATGGAAATTACTTAATTTTGTTGGTAATTAACACTAAATGAGTGTTCAGGAGAGTATACTTCTCAAACATTAACAAAAACCCAACTTGACTTAATTTTACAAGAAGTTGTAATTGTTCATTGTTTTCATAGTAGTAAAAAAATTTTATGCTCTGGTGGTGCATTTTCTCCATTCACCCATAAAATAAAGTTTTTTTTTTTGGGGTAGACAAGCCCCAAGGAGTTATATTTTTTAAAGTATTAGGAGGGGTGGTGTTAGTGGCAGAAATGGATACCACATTGTGGTTATTAGGTGTGGGGATGCTACCATCACTACCCCAACCCTTTTCCTACTCTGTCAAATAAAGTCGCGGCTAGGAGTATTGTCGGGCCTTCAAAAAGATTTTTTATATGCTTGGAAAAAACAACATAGTAAAATTAGATGAAGTCTGGACATGAGTTTCTAAAAATTATAAAAAATTTAGATTATAATTTTGAAATTATTAAATAAATCCCAAAAATTCATATTTAAAATCCTCCTCTCTTATGCTTAACGGAAGTTTACTATATGCACAGGACATGCTATAGCTTGAGTTGAGTGGGAACGTTCCATCAGTCCCAAATCCCAAGAATGTTTAAAATGAGAAAAGAAAAAGAGAGAGAGATCTAGTTTGGATCAAAAGTCTCAGACTTTGTTAGCCCGTGAATTTGAAAATAAAATAAAATTTAAAATATTTTTTAAAAAAATTTATTTTGCACGATCCATTTTGCATTTTGATAAAGGGGCCATTTTTTTTAGGCTTATACCGATGCATGAAGGATGCAGACCAAATATTTTTTTAAAAAAAGTGTACCGAATCTTTGTAATTTCAATAAAAAAAGAAAAGGAAAATTTCTTAAAACTACCAAATATAGATTTTTTAAGCACTTTACCCGTTCAATTTTTTCTAACATATTTTTTTTCTAAAACCAACTTGTTTCTAGCTAATACCCCCAATACAAAAAGTTCACTTTTTTTTTTTAATGAAAATTTCTTTACATAACAAATTATTTTTGCTGGAGAGGGCGGTTCTGCATTTACCCGCTCAACTTTTTCTAACATATTTTTTCCCAAAACCAACTTTTTTTAGCTAATCCCCCATACAAAAAGTTCATTTTTTTTTTTTTAATGAAAATAACTTTTCCTTACATAACAAATTATTTTCGCTGGAGAAGGGGAATTATTTTCGCTGGAGAGGGCAGTTGGGTGTTTAAAAGAGGCAGGGCGATGATTATTTTGTTGGAATGGGTGGGTAGTACGACATTTTTTGAAATAGTAGTCCGGCATTTTGAAGAAGTAGTGGGACGTTTAAAAGTGGCTATACAGGCAGTCTGGCGTTTTAAAGTGGTCGTCTGATATTTTGAAGTGAGTAGTCCCACGTTGTACAAGTGCGGTTTTTTCTTTCATTGGGATATGTCGAGAAAGGGTATTTTCATCAAAAATTATTAGCTAAAAAATTTGGTTTTGAGAAAAAATATGTTATAAAAAGTTGTATCGGATAAAGTGCCTAGAAATTCCATATTTGGGTATTTTCCCATGAAAAATACTAAAGCCTGTTATTTTTATGAATCAGAATAGCATGTGGATATGTGCTCTCTCAGATCATTCATATTGGTCATTCGAGTCTTATTCTAACTATTTGGAATGCATCTTTATTAATATATAAAAAATAAATTTAAAAAATAAAAATTATATTTTTAAAAGTTAATTTGAGACATCACTTCTTGTGAGACTACCATCCTTTCACATCCATCCTCAACGTTGATGGGTCAGAGGACATTAATGTAGAATTCCATCCCCTGACGCAGAATACATTTTTCCAAATTCAGAAGCAATGTATTTTTATATTGGAAAAGTGCTTTATGAGTAGGGGATGTGAAACTGCATTTGGGGTTTCCGAATGCATTTCACCTCTATATTAAAGATGGATACATGGTGGTCCCCCCAAAAAGATAAAAACTACTGAAATAATTTTTTTCCAAAAATTATTGTTTGGAATTTTTAATTTCTTTTACATATAAATAATCTCCACCTTAGAAGTTATATATAGCTAAAAAATTAAATCTAAATCCATTAAAAATAAAGGAAAATGCTAGAAAATTAAATCTAAATCCATTAAAAATAAAGAAAAATTACGTAAATATCTGCTTTAGTTTATGTTATTACCAAAATATCAAATACTTTCCATTATTACTGATATGTCCATTTTTTTGGACTTTATAACAAATTTTTTTTTTAAAGACTAGAAAATTTAAAAATTTTAGTTCTTCAACCAAAAATTTTAAATTTTCGATTCTTCGATAATTGAAAAATGTTTTCTATCTCTTGTGGCGTATTCTCTCTCAAATCTCTGACGTCATAGTTATTCGATAAAATCAGAGAGGAACAACTAAATTTAAGATAAATCTCAAGGGTTATGAGATTAGAAGATTAGGATAAATCTTGTGACATATTCTCTTTCTACCTCTTTTGTGGTGTTTTTTCCCTCTAGTGGCGTTTTCTTTCTCTTATAGCGTTTTGTCTCTCTACCTCTCTAATATCATGATTATCCGATGAAATCAAGGGAATAGCAAGTTTGTAATCTCAAGGGTTATGAGATTAGAAGATCAGGACAAATCTTGTGACGTATTCTCTCTCTACCTCTTTTGTAGTGTTTTTTCCCTCTCGTGGTGTTTTTTCTCTCTTATGGCGTTTTTATTCCCTAGTTCTCTGAAGTGATGATTATCCGGTAAAATCAAAGAATAGCAAGTTTGAGCCCCTGAATTTGGGAGAAATATCAGGGATTATGAGATTAAAAGATTATGATAAATCTCGTGGCATGTTCTCTCCGGACTTCTCTCTCGTGGTATATTCTCTCTATCTCTATAAAGTCATGGTTATCCGATAAAATTAGATTAATAACTTGTTTGAGGCCCTAAATTTAAGAAAAATCTCAGAGATTATGAAGATTAGGGGAAATCGTATTCACTCTTTATCTCTCTTGTGGTGTTTTCTCTTACTTGTAGTATTTTCTCACTTGTGGCGTATTCTCTTTCTATCCTTCTAAAGTCATGGTTATCCGATAAAATTAGGAGAATATCTAGTTTGAACTATGAGATTAGAAGATCAGGGAAATCTTGTGGTGTATTATCTCTTTACGTCTTTTGTGGTGTTTTCTCTCATTTGTAGCCTTTTCTCTCTCTACCTCTCTTAAGTCATAGTTATATGATAAAATCAAGAAGGACCATTAGTTTGAGTCCCTGAATCTAAAAAGAATATAAAACTGATGACCCAGCCTATGATGCCCTACCTTGAAGAAGAGATCTCTTGTCGGTTCAAGCTCTCCTACCATGAAGAAGAGATCTCTCATCAATTTATGCTCTTCAAGTTAAGCAATGGGAATATCCAGACTAGGCCAAATTTTTCTCTTAATACACCCGGGTGAAATTTGCCCAAAAACAAAAGATGCTAGGTGAAGGAGTGAGAGATAAAAAAACAACCATTTTTACCATAGGAGTGAGATAAAAAAACAATTATTTTTAACTGTATAATGGAGAGAGAGAGGTAGAGAACACGTTACCCACAATAGAAAAAAAAATAAAATAATAATAAATAACTAATTTTTTTTTTTTGAAATCGGCATTGCCGTGATTTCGGTTTTTAAAAAACTTAATGTTTTTTTATTGAAGTCCAAAAAAAAAAACTAATATATGAAAGATAATAACGAGAACTAAAATAAATATTTATATAATTTTCCCTATTATACATGAATCTTCCTCTAAGAACCTTCGTCGTTTCGTATACTCCATTAACCACAATGTGGCCCATGATATTCCCAACAAGCTGGTGTCTTTTATTGAGCTTCATGCCAAGCCTCGTGCTCTCTCTCTCTCTCTCTCTCTCTAGAATCAGTGCTCTTCTCTCTCTAGAATCAGTGCTCTTCTCTCTAGAATCATGAAGTCTCTTTTCCGTCCTGCGGCATGCACTTTTTAAGTGAAGTCCAGTTAAAAAAAGACAAGAGGAAGAAAGGGAAAGAGGAGCATCTAACAAAATATCCTCTCTCTTCTGGTGGCCATTAAAACCCCCACCAACTCATTTACTCAAACTACTGATACTCTAAAAAGCTCTTGCACCCATGGTGTCCCAACATTCCCTTTCATCCCATTTTTTAGAAAACTAATCTCTTTCTCTCTCTAAATCTCTCTTTTTCTCTCTCTCTCTCTTTAAACGTTTATCAGTCACCCCATTTGAGGAGAGAGCTGGACTCTCTCTCTATATATCTTTATCACTCAAACTAAACACATTTTCTCTCTCTAAGGCTCTTTCCCACTCACCCCATTTGAAGAAGAGAACTGAAGTCTCTCTATATCTCTCACTCTCGGAGTTCCTTTTAAACACGTTTGTAGAGGAGAGCTGAACTCTCTCTCTTGTTTCACCCCATTTGAAGAAGAAAACTGAACTCTCTCTCTAAATCTCTCTGTCATCCCATTTCAAGAGAACTATCTTTCTCTCTGATCTTTTTCACTCACCCCATTTGAAGAAAAAACTAAGCTTTCTCTGTCGCTCTCTGTGTGTTTCTACTTGTGATCATGGGGTCAAGCAAGGTCTCTGCTTGTTCATCACCTGTATCTCAGAAGAGCTTTCTTGTAAAGGTGGCGTACATTGTGTTCTTCTCCTTCTTTACGAGGAGGGGGAGGGGTCGATTCAGTCTTCTCCTGTTTGGTCCTCTCCTTTACGTCTCTGCAATGCTCATTTGTGCCGGCCCTTTTCCGTTTTCTACAACTCCTTCACTGCCACCGGGCTCTCTGTATCGGAGTTCGGAAGCTTTTTGGAAGCTATGGCCTGCAATGCAATCTGATAATGGCTCCTCAATTGAGGTCGGCGCTCTGTCTCTGTTTCTTGGTTGTTTCCTTTTCTTATCTTTTTGGCTTACTGTTGTTGGGTCTCTCTTCACTTTCTAGGATTTGGGTTTGATGCTCTCTCTCTCTTCTTGTTGTTGGGTTTTTTTTGGTTTCTACTGCTTAGGCCTTTTAGAGTCTTTCTCATATGAGCTTGGTGCTCTGTCTATCTGATTTTTTTTGTCACAGGGATCTCTGTAGGGTCTTCTGTAATGTCTATCCTGCAATGCAATATCAGTGAAATTCATGTCCTCTCTCTCTCTTGATGGTTCTATTTTCCACTGTTTTTCTGGTTCTTTAGCCAGTGCATCTAATGAAGATGCAGTCCAGGATCTTCTATGTAGTTTGGTTTCTAATGTTCTCATGCCTTCAGAAGCTCTGGAGTGCAATGCGATTTACCAATGGCCATTTCATTTCACTGATGTTGCTCTCATTAATGGCCATTCCACTGATGTTGCTCTCTCGCTCTCTAATGGGCATTCCACTGATGTTGTTCTCTCTCTCTCTTTCTCTCTCGTGTTCATTCTTTGGTTGTACTGGTGTTTGGAACTTTTGATCTTTGTTTATGTAGCTAATGACTATATCGCACATTCTTTCATGATTTTGGATGTAACTGATTGCTTCAAAATACATTGCCTTGTGTTTTTCTTTTGATTTTGTAGCTTACAGCAGTCTGGAAATATCATAAGAGTCCTGCTGGGTGGAAGCTTTGTGCAAATCAGACATCGAAACCATTTTATCAGAAAAGAGTGAAAAACCGGATATTGCAATCATCTGGTATGTTTCAATTTTTCTTGCTGCTTTTATATAGCTACTTCATCTATTGAGTGAGGTGTGTATAAGGTGCCCACCTTGTACCATACAAGTACGGCACCTTGAAATTTTGTTGGAAGTTGTAGTTCCAGTATGGCTTAAAAATCCATGCTCAACCCGAATTATGAAATTTCAAATTCCAAAAATAGTATAGATCGAGCATATCTATAAAGTATAAACACTTGAAAATCTTGAAAATAGTCCATATAACTTGTTAAAAGATACACTATTTTTAAGACTTGAAATTATTATTATTATTTATATCCTTACATCTCTAGATCAAGATGATCAATTGGAAGGTTTTCTAACTTTGGAACACTCTTTTCTATTGGATTTTTGAGGTGCGTCTTAGTTCTAGAGTATAAGGTTGCAACCTTGTATACATTTTTTCCTTATTTCCTTACACCATCACCTAGCACCTTTCTCAATTATTCACTTTTTATACCTTTTCTTTTGCATGGAGCTTGTATCTTCTCTCTCTTTAATGGCCATGAGCCCCATTGTTTTCAAGTGGCTCTCTCTCTTTAGTGTTTGAGAGATGCTATACTTTGATGAACTGAAATGCATTGGAGAAAACAAGACCTGAGAACTAATATGTGGATGCTGAAGCCTCAATGAAATGACACTCATCAGGACTTGTGGGAAAAGTCTAGTATTCTAAGTATAATTTTAATGGAGATGTGATTTTTCTATTTGCCTATGGTATATCAGCCTGCCTACCATTGCCCACTGTGCTCCTATGAATGCTTCTTGTTTCGTTTAGATATAGAAAATGTGTTTTTACATGGAGGTCTATACGGGATTTAATAATATTCACCTTTTTGCATCCAATACCTTCGTGTTGATTAAGTTTGACAATGGCAGGTAGATGCTCATAAAAGCTCTAAAAAATGTGTTGGTTTATGTTTGTTTTGTAAGTATTGATCCATTGACTATGTTGAGGTTTATAATTTCTCGTGGAATAAATCTGGACAATGTGACTTCTTTTCATAATAAATTTTTATGGATCCTGATGGGCAAGATAACTTTGCCAAATAGCTATGGAGAAATTCTATCGCTATAATGTTATTTCGCGTCCTGGAACTGCTTTTCATTACTGTGGAAATTATGAGTTGTACGCTAACATTCAAAGAAAAGGATTATCAGTTGTAAGCTATTGATAAGCTGGGCTGTAAGAAAAAAGGACTTATGGATCCATGTATCCATATTCATTTGAGTAACACATTATAAAGTTGCTTTGTTGCTTCACTTAAAACGAAAAGAATGATCTGCTTTTTCTTTTTATGCTAATATTTTCTCATTTTAATTTTTGAATATCCAGAGTTGTCTCCTGCAAATGGCTATCTGATTGTTGAAGCTAATGGTGGTTTGAACCAACAGCGCTCATCGGTATGATGCTACTTTAAATTATTATTTGTATTTTGTTGAAGTCACCATTATTTGAATTCCTGTCACCATTGTTTGAATTCCCTTGATAATGTGTGTGTGGATGTTAGGAATTGTATTATTCTTGTGGTGTTTTAATGAAGACTCTGGAAATTGGTACTTCATTTCTACATAAAAGAATACTGTTCCACAATAAGCTTATAGCACATGACAGATTTTAGGCTATCATGCATAAAAGTACAAGAAGCCTCTGAAAGTTCACATTATAACTGAAAACTCCTGTAATATCTTTTTCATGTATTACAACACATGCATAGCAAAACTCAGGCCAGCAAGGCTTATTGTTGGTTTAATTTTTCATATTTGTAGTTTTCTCAGTGTAGTTAATGCCTTTTGCCGTAACTTTCTTTTTCTTTCTGTTTTTTTGGCAGATATGCAATGCAGTGGCTGTAGCTGGACTACTGAATGCTATTCTTGTTGTTCCTGAATTAAATAAACATAGCATTTGGAAGGACTCTAGGTAAGAAATTTAAATTTTGTGTGATTCTAACTTTTGTAAACATTGTCATGGGGTGTTACTGTATACAGAAATCCTTGGGAACCTCTTAACCACGTAACCTATGCATGTACTACTAATCAACCAACCGATGCTTAATTTGTGTGCACCTCCATTATTTTCAAAGTTTATCAGAATATTTTGCTCCCTCTATGATGTGTTCACTGGAGAGTGACTGTTTAAAAAGCCAATTTTGGTTGATTATTTTGCAGCAACTTCAGGGATATCTATAACGAGGACCACTTTATGAATACTCTACAGGGCCATGTGAGGGTGGTTAAGAGGCTTCCAGATATCTTAATGGAGAGATTTGATTACAACATTAGCAACATACCAAACGTAAAAGTGAATGCCTGGTCACCAGTTCGTTATTATTTGGAAGCCATTTCTCCTCTGTTGCATGAGACAGGGTATGCAGAAAAACTCTTCATGCATATTTTTTATGCACCTGCATTTTTAATTCATTATATTTTGATGGGTTGTATCATAAATTCATCACTTGAATGCTGCAGAAACATACGAAGAAGAGGGAATATGGAATGTGAGATATATGTTGCTTCAAGCCTAGACATTCTTCTTTTTTGGAGTGATTTGTGTTTGAGATAGTTGTACTCTATGAATGCACTTCCCTTACTTTTAGAAAATATTTACATCATATATAATTTATATGTCCTTGATTCTTATAGTTATTACACAGCAGTTATTTTCTAGGCTTTCATAAGTTTAGCAATGAAAAGTTATTGACAAATAATACAGTGCTTTAAGTAGTTTTAATTGGACCATAGGAATCATAGTCAATGATTTCATCTTTATTAAACATGAGCATCCGTAACCTGGCACTTGGCTGGTTTTGGCACTATTTCTCTTTACTAGCATCCACTAAGCAAACCAAAGTTTGCAAATATAAAGGCTCTTAAAAACTACTAGACAACTGAAGACCAAAGGAGCAACCATGAATAGTCTAATGAATCATGGATATGAGAGAGGACTGGGAATTTGACATGTATTCCCTTGAAGTTCAGAGGAGGCCACTCTATTTGTTTTGCAAAGATCTTGTTTGAAGGTTTTTGGCGTTTATTGATTTCATTGAAGCATTTTGGCTATCTTTAGGGCATTATTACCAATCACAAGTTACCCTAATTTGTGAGCCATGAGAACTCCCAGAATGTGTAACCCACATTACTTTATACATCTCATTGTGGCTTTGCTTTCTGTATTCATTTACTTGCCTTCTACCCTTCAAGGTAATGCAATTAACTCATTCTTTGTGAACTACCAGAGCTCTGTATCCCACAAAACTTTATACATCGTACTTTTCGGAGTCACTTTCTATATGCATTTACATGCCTAAAAGTGTTGATATTCCTCTGTAAATTGTTTCATATTCACACTCTCTCTCGGGGGATTTGCAGCATGGACGTAACTGTTTATTATTTAACCTTTATGCCAAGAGGCTGAATCAACATGAAAGAGTTGCTTTTAAGAAGATGGTAACATTAGTGTGTCATCTCATGACCAACTTGCAGATGTTTTCACTGAATATTTGGACAGGGATCAAGGAATATTCATGCCTTCAAACTTTTCTCGTCTAGAAACAACCTCTAGATTTTACAATATCCTTTTTCCACCCATAAGTACCTCTTGTTCTTGGCCGATTTGCATCCATAATTATGAGTATATTTCACACTTTTCCAGGGCAATTGTCAATGTACTTTACATGACCACTTGTCAATCTGCTTTCTGCGTTGACTCTTGTAATTTACTCATCATTGGGTGCCTCGAACAATACTTTACTAAAAATATGTTGAGTTTGTGCCTCTCAAATTTATAAAATGTGCCACTGTCTCTAGCCACTAACCATAAAGGTCATAAATGCATGAAAACCACTCTCTCTAATGTTTGGGAAATGCTCAAATCAATTAAGTAGCTCGAATTAGATTATTGGATTTAATGGCCATAAGAATTGAATTGAGGCACAAGACTGCTATACCAGTGCATTCTCTCTATAAGATTTTGAGAACATAGTGTCATCAACTCATTAATGGCTTCTAACTTGCAATTCCATAAATTTACATAATGACCAGGTGCTCTTCTATTATTTGTTCGCCATGGAGTATTCATTTTATACTTGTGGAATTTTTTTTTAACATGGATTAGGTGCAAAGCATATGATAATTAGCCTTTTTTCTGCAGGGTAATACGCATTTCTCCATTTGCAAATCGACTTGCACAAAAAGTTCCACCAGATATTCAGTTTCTCAGATGTTTAGCCAATTATGAAGCTTTGACATTCTCTACTGCTATTATGTCTCTCACAAATAAACTAATAGATCGAATGAAGGAGAAAAGTTCTAAGTCCCATGGAAAATATGTTTCTGTCCATCTTCGTTTTGAGGAGGTATGGCTAGTTGCAACTATTTAGACATTTCCTTCTACCTAACAGCTGGGGTTCTTGAGATTCTCGTAACTGATTATTGCTTTGATAAAATCTGTAGGATATGGTGGCCTTCTCATGCTGTCAATATGATGGAGGAGAGGCTGAAAAACTTGAGATGGAATTTGCACGTGAAATAGGTTGGAAAGGAAAATTCAATCGAGAGGGTCGAATGATTCAACCTGAAATGAATCGTGTGAATGGGAAATGTCCTTTAACCCCCTTGGAGGTACCTAAAAGAAACTTTGAACTTTTCTAGCTTTAAATACTAGATAACAGTCATTACTAAGTTGTAATTGCTTAAAATATTATTTAAATGTGCCGTTTGGTTACTATTCATTATATAAGCATTGCTTTAGTGAATTTCATTTAAACTATATGCATTTGTAAATTGAATCAATTGGTTTTGCTCATTCAGTGAATTCTTGATAACTCTTTTTGTCATTCTTACTTTCCTAGATAACAAAGGCATGTGATAATATTGAGCTTTGTTTTGGAAAAATTTGTAGTAAGCTGGCAAACACCATTAGTCATTAAACATTTGCAGTACACTGGAACAACCATGGACTAATTCCAAAAATTTAGCCAGAAGGAAAAGTGATGGACAAGATAATTAAGCTTGGCACTCTTCTCCCTCAAGTTGGTTGTTTTGATGCCCAAATATCTTCAAATTGATCATCTCGACATCAAGATGTATAGACATGTGAAAAACATGGATTTCAAGTTTTGAAAATAGTGTATTTTGTAATGCGTTTTGGACCGTCAATTTTCAAGATTTTCAATTTTTCATAGATCTATCGATCTACACTATTTTTGAAAGCTTTAAACTTTATAAATAAATATGAAAATATATTTTGAGGCTATCACAAAGATTTCCTGAAACCACATTTCTCAACACTACTTGAAGGTAGGCTCTAATTTGATACTTTAGAGCCTAGGCTCTATACAAACCACACCCATACATATATATATAATTTACTTCAAAGGAAAATATGACTTGGGTTTCTTTTGGGATCCACCTTCAAGCGCTACTGATATCTTCGATGAACATTTATCATACTTAACGAATTTGAACATATACATCTCAAAGGTTGTCATATTTTATTTATTTAGTTATCTATTTAGTTATTTAACTTTTTGTTGATTCTAATGTTACTATTTTGTAGTTTGATTTTTGGAGGTGAGCTTCTGTGCTTAAATTATGTTCGCCACAACAGATCAAGTTAAAATGCCCTACAAACTGGTTTTCAGTCAAATGCATTAATGTGACAGATAATGAAATTCTGTGTAGTAATGAGACTTTTCTTTTCCGTTTCTTCTGTTAGTTTAGGTGGGGATGATGCTAAGGGGTATGGGATTCGATAACAACACTTCAATCTACATGGCATCTGGTAAAATATACCAGGCGGAAAGAAACCTGGCCCCATTATTGCAGATGTTCCCTCTTCTTCAGACTAAAGAAACTCTTGCCACCCCTGAGGAACTTGCTCCTTTCGAGGTACTATTGCTTTCACAGAGTTGCAACATATTATAACAAATTAATAACATCTCTCTCACGCTCTCTCTCATTATTTTGGTATTTTGTTGTTGCTTTTGATTTCAGGGTTATTCTTCAAGGATGGCTGCCTTAGACTATACTGTTTGCTTGTACAGTGAAGTTTTTGTGACAAGCCATGGTGGTAACTTTCCACATTTCTTGATGGGTCATAGGAGATACATGTATAATGGCCATGCCATGACCATCAAGCCCGATAAACGGAAGTTGGTCGTTTTGCTTGATGATCCTGGAATCAGGTTCTCTCTCTCTGGTAACCTATGTCTTCTGTTAACCCATGTCCTTGTTCTTTAATCCTCGATGACAATCCATTTCAAATATTTTCAGGTGGGAAACTTTTAAAGCAAACATGACATTAATGCTGCATAAAAGTGACCACACGGGATTCGCTATCAGAAAGCCCAAAGGGTCCATCTATGGTCATCCTTTCCCCGAATGTATGTGTCGTCATGGCTAGTCAAATTTGACTCACACATCTTCATATTCAGCTGTTGCAGTGAGCTGGAAGTTATCGAGGCCCAATGAATTCTGTTCATCTTGTAAACCAGAATAGTTTTCCCATTACTCAGTTCTGAGCTGGTTTGTGATGCAGTTGAGGTCTCCTTGTAAACAATATGTTGGTTCTCTTTGTTTTTGGGAAACAATATGTTGGTTCTCATTTGATCAATGGTGGATGTATGATTATTTCTTCTCTGTTTCGGTCTCCCCTGATTTTTAAATTGGATTTACATTGTCCACAGCAGCTCTATCAGCCAGAAAAAGCCTTGCATCCTGTCTTGTGGTGAGAGAGAGAGAGAGAGAGACACTAAATCTAGTTTATGTTTTATTTGTACAGGGAGACCAACACTATTCAAATTATATAAGTGAGTGCATGAAAAAATCTAAGGTGCGCCTCTCATATCTTGTCTAGTACAATGGCTGAGATTGAATCTAGCCCGATTCAAAACAAGGCGTGCCCAATAAAAAATACGACAAATATTTTCAAACATTATCTAATCTTATCATTAATGTTTTTCAGAAAATATATAAAGGAGACATTTATCTTTGGTATCAGGTAGTCATAATTAATCTTGATCATTGGATTTGAAATTGGGTGGCTGCATTTATTTTATTGATTAAACTCAAAATTCAATAAATTTTTTTTCGAATTTTGTGACACATCAAAGCTATCATATTTAACATTGGATGGTTGAGTGGTCTCATTATACGCATTCCCAATTTTTCTATTATTATATTTGTACTTGTTTTCTACCAATTATTACAATAATACTTCGTAGTTTTTTAAAATGATTAAATTACCTTTTTGTGGATGAGATGTTTAAAATTCTAAATATTACATTTTGGTGTGGAGAAAAGGGTGCGGTGTGTATAGAGCCGAGGCTCTAATCAATCAAAGTAAAGCCCACCTTCAAATAGTGTCGAGAAATGTGGTTTCAATATTGGAAATCTTTGTGATGGTCTTAAAATATATTTCATCTCTAATTATAAAAAGAAAAGGTTATATAGAGCCGAGGTTCTAAACAATCAAATTTGAGCTTACCTCAAGAGGTTGTTTTGATGTCCAAATATCTTCAAATTGATCATCTCAACATCAAGTTGTATGGACACGAGAAAGAAATGGATTTCAAGTTTTGAAAATAGTGTATTTTGTAATGCATTTTTGGACTGTCAATTTTAAAGATTTTCAAGTTTTCACAGATCTCTCGATCTATATTATTTTTTAAGCTTTAAATTTTATAAATAAAGATGAAAATATATTCTAAAGCTATCAAAAAGATTTCTAGAGTTGAAACCACATTTCTTGGCACTATTCAAGGTAGGCTCTAATTTAATTGTTTAGAGTCTAGGCTCCATACAAACGGCACCCAATTATAAAATTTCAAGCTTAGAAAATAGTGTAAATTGAGCTGATTTATGAAAATCTTGGAAATTGACCATCCAAAAATGCATTATTTTCAAATTTTGAAATCTATTTTTTTTCTCATGTCCATGCATCTTGATGTCGAGATGATCAATTTGATGATATTTGGGCATCAAAACAACCTCTTCTAGTGAAAATTTTGAGGTGCCTTTTAATTTGATTGTTTAGAGCCTCAACTCTATATAAATTTGTTCCTTTTGAAAATCCAAAACTTATTTAAAAATTTAATTTTCTGATTTTGAAATCCAATTTGAAAAATGGTAATTATAATATCCAAATATTGTGATTTTTGGATTTTTGAAATCCGAAAATTTGCATCTCGGTGTCACAACAATTTCAGATTTTGAAAAATTGAAATTTGTTTGAAAATTGGGGTAAAACATTTTAGAAATCCAAAAATTACTTTAAAATCAAAATTTCAGATTTTCAAATCCAAAAATTGCAATTTTTTTGAGAATCCTATATTTTTATGAAATTTGGATATTGAAAATCCAAAATTTTTTGTGAAAAAAGAAGCCTTGGATCGTGTATTTTTATTGATTTCGGATGTTCAAGATTGGAAATCGATGGGCATTTGTGAAACCACAAAATAAACCTGGATGGGCAAAACCCCAAAATAAACCAACTATAGATGTATTACAGGTAAATTTAAAATAACGTTAATTAAAAGTAATAAAAATATTTCACATAAAAAATAACCAAAATACCCCTTAGACTTATTTGGTTTTCTTACTTGAAATATTTTTTGTTATTTTTATTGGTGCGTCCTATTTTGTATATAAGGATAATTTATCAAAAAAATTAAAATAAAAATAAATTTATTTTATGATCGTCTTTTGGTTAAAAAAATTAAGTCTATACCGTGGATATATACTGGTGTTTCTTTCAATGGGTTATACTGTTCAGATTGATCAAAATAAATTATTGGACTGCCAATAAAGACGTCATTTATCTTTTGTATATGAATGTCACAATCATTATTGTCCCTTAGATTTCAAAATGGGTGGTTGTAAATAAAAGTGTCATTGAATAAAAACTAAATACCAAAAAAAAAATTTATCAACCCAAGTTATCCAATTTGATATGTAATGAGTGGCAATAAATTTGATATATAATGAGTGAATAATTATGACCTCCATTCATATCTTTTGTACACAGAGGCTACAATTCTTTTTGAAACTATATACAAAAGGATTGTTTACTTTTAACAAATGTGTACCCCACTAATACCTTCAAAAGTTAACTCTTAATCTACCAATAAAAGTAGGTTGGGCCTGTCTTCCCTTGAGAGACTTCCATGTTGTCTTCTCTCATGTTTCATGTGGATTCAATTCGGATGCTGACTACTTGGCTACCTTGGTTACATCTTGTTTTTAGCCTTCCTCTACTGCTTTTTCATCGGGCCTCTTGAGGATTGGTTCCCCCCCCCCTCTTTTTCTCTTTTTTATTTTTATACTTGTGTTGCTTTCCCATTGTGCTTTTCACTATCTTAATAAAACTCATATATACTCACAAAAAAAAAAGAATAAAAAAAAAAAAGAAGGAAAAGAAAAAGAAAAAGAAGAGAAAAGAAGAAAAAGAAAAACAACAGACAAACCGGTTTAGATTTACCTGCTACCGAGGCTGCCGGGCTAATTATTGGCATATTTCATTGCGGGGCCTCGTAAAGGTCGCTGGCACTTATTTAAGGTCTACTTGTCACGGTTGTGAAAGACGTTTTACAGGGCAATGACAATCATGCCATATAAATCTATTTTGTCGCTTTTATTATGAAGGGTAAATTATGATTTTTTTTCACATCCATGTGTTTAGGACCTAAAAAACGATTATCATTAAATTTGATATAAATCTTTATAAAAGTTATCATATGAATGTGAGATTTGATTTTTTCAGAGATATGTGTCAAATTTAATGATGATCTTTGAAGATCATACACATGAATGTGAGAAGGTCTTACAAAGTCATTTCTCTATTATAAATTCGAAATCTCGAAAAAGTCAATGCAGATTTAATAGAGTAGAAAAACTTGAAAATAAACGGTTTAGATAATGTGCTAAGATATACTATTTTAAAAATAATTTATTTTTTGTTTATTAATTAGAGAATTTATGATTAAACTGATTAAACGTTTCCAATGAGTTTTAGAGTTGCACTTTATTCTTATAATATAAGATTGACACCTTGTATAATCTTTTTCGTCTCTGGTACACATCTAAAAAATTTTGTTATTTAAGAATTTTTCAAAAAAAATTCATGATTACATTTGTACTCATTTTATTTTTCATATTTTAAAAAAAGGAAAAGTTTATATAGAGCCGAGACTCTAAACCATCAAATTAGAGCCTACATAAAAAATTATATTAAATAAGCTTGTTTTTATTCCCAAGTATCTTCAAATTGATTATCTCGACATCAAGATGTATGGACATGAAAAAAAAAATGGATTTCAAGTTTTGTGAAATAGTGTATTTTGTAATGCATTTTTAGACCGTCAATTTTCAAGATTTCATAAATCTGTTGATCTACAATATTTTTTAAGCTTTAAACTTTATAAATAAAGACAAAGATATATTTTAAGACCGTCACAAAGATTTCCAATATTGAAACTATATTTCTCGATACTTTTTGAGGGTAGGCTCTAATTTGATTGTCTAGAGCCTAGGCCCTCTACAAACTGCACCCTTTAAAAAATGGCCAACTTGCCCTCTAACTTTCAAGTCCCAATTTTAACTTTTATATAAAAGTTAAAAAAGCAAACTTAATACTTTTAAGGTCTAAAGTTAAAAAATAAAAAAAAAAAGAAAGAAAAAGAAAGAAAAAGAAAGGGAAATTATCGGTGATATACCTATATTTTAATAAAATAAAATAAAAACCTTTAATTTTTCAAAACCTCGTCTACACCACTTTTCTCAATTTTTGGCTTTTTTTGGACGAAAACACCCTTTACGGTAGTTTTCTATCGTAATGAACATTACGATAATTAAAATACCGTAATACCTTAAAGTAGTATTATAGCAATTTAATTACCGTAATAACATTATGGTAATTTAAATACAATAATACTCATTACGATAATTATAATACCGTAATACTTTAAAGTAATCTTATGGTAATTTAATTACCGTAATATTGCCCAACCCTTAATACTAAGGATTTTCTACTCTCTCGAGTCTATTATCTATTTACTCTCTCGACAAAAATCCATGCTAGCTGTATTTTTCAAATCTCAAATTTTTAGGATATAATCTCTATTTAATTTTTATATGGTTATCAAAATTTTAGAACAAAAACACTCATAAATAAGTGTTTTTGAACGAGGGAGTAGATCCATATCGTGCTCCCATGGGAACATGGATTTTTTAAAAAGAGAGAGGGGTAGCCTTGATATTAGCTTCAGTTTAAAGTTTTTCAACCAATAGGAAGGTGAAAGTGATCGGGAAAACATTAAGGTAATAAGAATACCGTAAAGATTACGGTAAAGACTTTCCACCCTCCTACTGGTTGAAAAGCTTCAAACAGGGCTATCCTTCTCTCTTTTCAAAAAATCCATATTCCCATCAGAGCACGATGTGGATCTACTCTATTGCTCAAAAAATACTTATTCAAGAGTGTTTTTGTTCTAAAATTTTGAGAACTATATAAAAATTAAGTAGATATTATATTTTAAAATTTAAATATTTAAAAAATACAGCTAGCATGGATTTTCGTCGAGGGAGTAAATAGATAATAGACTCAAGAGAATACAAAATTCTTTGTTATGAGGCTTGGGCAATATTACGACAATTAAATTACCATAATACTACTTTTAAGGTATTACGGTATTTTAATTACAGTAATGAGTATTAGGGTAATTAAATTACCGTAATACCTTAAAGTAGTATTACGGTATTTTAATTACTATAATACTCCTTCAACTTATTCTTATGGTATTTAAATTACCATAATGTTCATTATGGTAAAAAAAAACTACCGTAAAGGGGTATTTTTGTCAAAAAAAAACGATAATTGAAAAAAAAAGGTATAGGCGAGGTTTGAGAAAGTTGTTTTTGTTTTTTGTTTTTTTTTTTTCTATTTTATTAAAATATAGGTACATTAAAGTTAATTTCTTAAAAAGAAATCCAAACCTTCAAAATCAGTTATTTAATTTTTTTTATGTTATTAAAAATACATTTCGAAAGGGTAGACCTTAACGGCTAAAGTTTCAATTTCTTGTATTACTTCAAAAAAAATATTTATGACGAAGTTAAATTTAGACCTTTAAAGTTCAAAGTTTGTCTTTAAACCTTCAATTTAGTCCTTTGAAAAAATTGTGAGAAGTAATGGGTATGAAAATAATAAGGGAAGATTTCGAAGGTATCTCTTTTACCTTTTTTACTTTTAATGGATAGTGGTTGGTTAATGTTAGAATAGAGATGATTTTTTTAAGGGTGTGGTTTCTATAAGGTCGCAACCTTAAACAATCCAATTAAGACACACCTCCTAATTTTATCATAACTTGTAATTTTGGTGAAAAAAATACTTAGGATTATGTCAAAATCTATTTTCATATTTAATTATAAAATTTTAAACTCCAAAAATAGTTAAAATCAAATAGATGTATAAACATACGAAAATCTTGAAAATGAATGGTCTAGATAATACATTGCAAGATGCACTATTTATGGGACTCAAAATATATATATATATTTTTTTCTTTTTCATATTCACACATCTCGTCCAGATGATCAAATTAGAGGTTTTTCCAACATTAAAATAACATTTTCTGAGATTTTTTCATATTCATGATCTCCATGTTAGAGATTACATGTCTTTAAAAATTAAGTCTTAAAATCTATCTAAAAAATAGATTTATCAAGAGGCCCTCATTTCTACATATGAGGGCTTGGCTGCATAAAAACCGGATCCCTCGTGATATGGTTTTCCTTCTTTAATGACAACTTTTCCAAGATATGCACCAAAATTTCCGTTGCAACAAATGCAGCCAAATAACAAACTAATTTTTGTAACTAACTGCATTATGCCCCTTATGACAAGCCAACATAACGGGAACAGCCCTTCGATTAGTTTGTAGCGGTTTTTAATTTTAAATAGAATGCACGTTAAAAGTCGATTGCATATTGTGAATGGGTCGGGGTAGGGGTCGGGGTCGTAGTGGTTACCTCAGTTAAGGTCTAAACTTTTTTTTCACCGAACACACTAAAAAATATTTTAACAATTTCAAAAAATGAATAGAGGCTAGTTAATAATTTTAAAAAATTTATAGGGACTCGTCATTATTTACTGGTATGCATGGATGTAAAAAGTGCGAAAAAATATGGTTTTACATAAATATGACCTTTGTTAAAGCGAAATAACATATTCGTATACCCGACTCCAAATAGTTTGAAATAAAATTCTAATAATGATGATGATGCATGAAGTCACAACAGTTTGTAATTGTCCTTATCTTCCCTAATCAGAGAGAAGTTACTTTTCTTGTTCCCCTATAAAATCCATGATCTAAAATGAACCTTGAAACAATTGCAGCCTCTTTAAGAGGCTATGGAAGAAGTGGGGATTTTGGGTTAGGCAAGGCCCTCCATTGTCATATAATAAAATGTGGGTTTGGAAGCAAAACCTTCATATGCAACAACCTGATTAGCATGTACATGGATTTTTGTTTTTCTGAATCTGCACATAAGTTGTTCGATGAGATGCCTGTGAGGAATGTTGTGTCCTGGACAACACTAATAGCCGGATATACGCATGGTGGAAGACCCAATGAAGCGTTGAAACTCTTCTCTGAAATGGAATTCTCGCCTGAAAAGCCTAATTTGTTTACTTTTTCTATTGCCCTGAAGGCCTGCTCGATCAAGAAAGACCTTGAACAAGGTCGGTTGATTCATGATCAAATTTCTAGAGCAAATTTGTTGTCCGATACCATTCTGATGAACTCTTTAGTGGACATGTACATTAAGTCTGGCAGTTTGATCGATGCCCGAAAGGTTTTTGAAGGTATGCCTTTGAAAAATACAGGTTCTTGGAACACCATGATTGCTGGGTATTTAGCAGAAGGCGAAATTGAAGAGGCAGGTCAAGTGTTCTCATCAATGCCTGAACCAGATTCGGTCTCTTGGAACACCATGATTGCAGGCTATGCGAAGCTTGGGCATGGTGGAGTGATGGAATTAGTGCACAGGATGCACATGCAAGGGCTGAGGCTTGATGGATTCACTTTTCCTTGTGCCTTGAAGGCTTGTGCTTCTCTCAAGAAACTGATTGAGGGTCAACAGATTCATGCTTATGTTTTTAGATTAGGATTTGAGTCGCAACTGTTAGTTGTGACTGCTCTGGTTGATATGTATGTCAAGTGTGGCAAAACCCTAGAAGCTCAGACTCTTTTTATGCAACGTTCTGATGGTGAAGGGTCTGTTAGAGAGAGTTTGGCCCTTTCAAATTCAATGCTAGGTGGGTATGTTAATAATGGGCATTATGGTGATGCTCTTGAACTGATTTCTCAAATGTACAAGTCTGGTTTGAGATTGGACTCCTTCACCTTTGGAAACATTTTAAAGCTGGGATGCGATCAAGACAATGTGAGACTTGGGGCTCAGGTGCATGGCCTGGTTGTGGCCTATGGGTATCATTTGGATGCAGTTATAGGAAGCAGCCTGGTAGATTTATATGCCAAATGTGGAAGAATAGAAGAGGCACAAAGACTTTTCCAATTGCTTCCTGAACAGGACAATGTCACTTGGGCCAGCTTGATAGCAGCTTGTGCTCATCAAGGATTGAGCTCACAAGTCTTCTCAATCTTCAAAGATATGCTTGAATCACGTGTTAATGCCGACCACTTCGTTCTCTCGAGCATTCTCAAAGCATGTTCCACACTGTCCGCTCTTGCTAGTGGTAAACAAATCCATGCTGTCATCGTTAAGAGAGGATATGAAACAGAGGTTATCACAAGCACTGCTCTTGTGGATATGTACTCAAAGTGTGGTGAAATCGAGGAAGGAATTGCTGTTTTTGATGGGTTAAGGGACCGAGATATAGTTTCCTGGACTGGAATAATTGTGGGGTGCGCTCGAAATGGGAGAGCCAAAGAGGCAATTGGCTATTTTGGAGAAATGTTAAGATATGGGGTGAATCCAAATGAGGTCACTTTTGTGGGTATTCTCTCAGCTTGTAGCCATGCTGGGCTGATTGATGATGCATGCAGGTATTTTGAGTCTATGAGCCATGACCATGGAGTCATCCCAGGTATAGAGCATTACTCTTGCATGATAGATCTTCTTGGGCGAGCTGGTAGGTTTGAAGAGGCAAAGAAGTTAATGGCATGCCTGCCACATGACCCTGATAGAGATATATGGACTGCCATGCTTGGGGCTTGTGGTATTCATGGGAATGTTGCACTTGGTAAGCATGCTGCACAATGCCTTATGGCTACCTCGCCAAATACCATCTCGGCATATGTGACTCTCTCTAATGCGTACGCTAGGATGGGCATGTGGAAGGAGTCATGCATGTTGAGGGAGGTGATCAGAGAGAAGGGCATGAAGGAAGCTGGAAGAAGTTGGGTAGATGCCTAGTTATTTGTGTTCCCTGAAGAGGTTCACCATGTTGGGGAAGAAGATACGGAGCTTTCTTAAGGGTAATTGGAGTTAACATGAGATACCCGGGTTAAAAAAAAAAAACAAAAGAGGTAGAGAGAGAGAGGGAAATGAAACTGTTCAGTGTAAATGAAAATTTTGGGTGATCTTGCTCCTATTCTTACTTCTAGAAGATTTGGTTGAGCTCTAAAAAAGTTGGGGTTGGCAGCAAATAAATCACATTGATTATAGAGATGCTGGACAAAGAAAACTTGCGAAAGTCACATCGTCTCAGATGATACCAGATTTATCCTTCAATAAGTCATGGAATGATCAGCATCCTTTCCCATACTTTCCAAATGAAGACCAGTCGCTTGAAAGATATCACTTCATTCCAAGATTCGAAATCCGAGATTGTTTTATTGATTAAAATTGCTTCCATTTCATATATTTCACTATGTACATGTTTAAAGATCACATGAAAGAATTTCAATTCAATCTAGTTCTAACATTCTCATTATTCTTATCATTTGAGAGACCTACGTCAATCCGACTGTCATCCTGGGCAGAAGCTTTGGTGTTCAATTCTTTACCACTTTCGTAAGGTAATACAACCACAGGGGTGGCAGGTATAGTGGCCCAACGATCCTTCAAGAATTTCCTGAACCTCATGACCATTTCCTTACGAAAATCAAGCTCTCGAGTGAAGATATCAAGAATGAGAAATGCGAGCACGTATCTGAAGGGGAACATGAGGAGAATGGTTGCAGCACCACAGAGTACCAGAGCAACTTCAGTTGTCACCTGCAAACATGGTTTACAGAATCATTGAGCCTTTAACTTAAAATTGGACAGTTTTGCACTGTTGTTTTAAGAATATAAATATATCTCAAATCTTTGGATGAGCCGTGATAGGACCTATCAGAATAAGAAAGAAAGGACTTGATGACTTGCTAAACAAAAATCAATTCAATTTGTATCAGCTAATTAATCATCAGTTGCATCTTTTTTGTTACTTTTGGCTTATCCTTTACATTTACAGTTGAGCATCAGCTTTTTTTTAATTGGTAAATGTCATACAATAAGCAAACAGAATTTAATCCTGTGAAATAATATCCAATGCCACCCAAATACACAGATGGTGCGGATACACCTTGGATAAGCGTACTTTTAACTGATTGGGGTATTTTATGTCGTGACTAATTTTTTTGCTCCTTACCTGGAATCGTTTTCTTTTTTTCCCAAATAATTTGTTGTTTTCTATTGATCTATGGTTTTATGCTTGCCCAATGCTTCACTTCTGTTTTTGGGAAAATGATCATGATCATAAAATCATGAGACTGTAATAAAATTTTAGTATTTATCATTAAGTCTAACAACTTAACAGCATAACACATTATGCGGTAGGATCAAAACAGATGTGCGGCCCATGGGTGCCGTGCACATGATGATTTCATGATGAGCCCACATAATGAGCACATTGCATAATGCATTATGCGCTTACGTATTCAGGTGGTTGCTCGTGGGCTGAAATGTGCCCACGAACAGGGTCATTCAGTCATTCCCCTCCCCCCACCCCAAAAAAAAGAAAAAAGAAAAAAAATCCTCAGAACCATTTTGTCATGGTTCTAAAGGGGTTAAAAAATTGAAATTGAAATCATTTTTTTTTATCAAATCCAATGAATTTAATAGGAATTTGGGGATTCTTGGGGCAACCATTTGAGTCTGCTTTGTGATGATGGCTCTACAGCCTCAGCCTCATATGTGGAAGAAGCAAATGAGCAATTATATAATAGATGCGACTGAATTGATTACATTATTTATTTTATATGTCATGAACTTTTGGTCTTTGGAGTTTCGATGTTATGCAGTCGTGAAGTCCTTTTGGTCTTCGAATGTTATGCCATGAGTATTTGACAATTTGGATTTTGGCCATACAGCCCAATGTGTAACCTTGGTTCCTAGATACTAATATATTTTCTAAGTGCTTGGTTGGGCAAGTTTATTCTATTTAATGAATGTGATGAATTAATTTATTTACATGTTAATTGCATTAGACTATAAAAGAATAGAAACAACAAATTTTGTTATACTTTATCAGGATATTAGGCTATCAGTGACTCAAGCAACAATATATTAAAGATAACTACAAGATTAAACTACTATCATATAAATCACAAATTCAAGTTATTCTTTGCATTCTTATACGTTTTCTAGTTTTTTTATTTTTAAATTTTATTAACCGCATTGGAGGTGATGTGCACACTTTGGGGCCGTGTCGAGCTGCATGGTGCATCAGACCCCCCTAGCATCGAGGCCGCATTCCACATTTGCTTATAATATTCCCAAAACAAGATAATGTAATAATTTTGTATGCCTGGAAATAAAATTTCTTTTATTTCACTTAATGAATTTGTCATATGACCATCACTGTGAGAAGAAACCTTTAGACTTTTATAACCAGCAAAAAAGGGTTGAAAAAAAAGGAAGAACGGGGAAAATAATGTATACATACAAGTCACGATATACAAGTATACATGAGTGGAAAAAATAAATGGACTAAGAAGGATAAACTGCTTTAAAAAAAGAAGGGAGAAATTTACGATCTGATTTTGATTAGGTGTTTTCTATTGTTTTTCTGATGGATAAGGTGAACTGTGTCATGATAAGGATTCAATTTAGAAAAATGAGTGACATGGAGGCCAATTTGATAGCATAATTTTCTCTTTTATGATGGGAAACAGGGTTTGATTTCATAGCCTCAAGTATGTAACTAGATATGCCTTCAATTGAGCTATGAGCTTGAACTCCAAAACCATGTATTAAGTTATTCCAATTTCTAGGTAATCAAAGTCAATTAAACCAAGATATTTCATACAAAGGAGTAAATGTCAGAGTTGGCTTTAACTGAAATAAGAGTTAAATGTTGTACATGAGTAAGGGACATCACTGTCCATAATAGTAATTCTTTATTAGTTTATTGTGTATATATCGCCTAAAAGGTATTTATTCATTATTACGTTTAGATTTGGCTTTAACTGAAAGTAGAGTTAGTGTTCTAACAAGTATAAGGCACACAGCTGTCCATCATGATAGTCTCTATTTGTTTATTTTCTGTGTCTATATATATTTATATTCTAGAAAACATTTATATCTTTATTAGGATTTATTAAGTGCCATTCTTGAGTTCTCTTTGTTTACTTGTTCAATATTGTCGAATTAGAGTTCTTGTCATTCAGCTCCGGCTTACAGGCAACTCAATCTTTTTCTTATTTATCAAACTATAAATTTGGGTACTTTGTCCTAATTTCAACAAGGAATTGCATTTCCTAAAACTTGGTACCAGGTCTGCCATAATATCAGGGCATGGGCATTTTTTATTTTTTGATAGTAACAAATTTCATTAATAGAAATTGATGTACAAGTATATGTATTTCTTCGATTTACCAAAACAAGTTTATATAAGTGCCTTTATCCTACTCTTCATATAGATGCTTACCAGATGCTATAAACACTAGAAGTTTTTGGAAACTACATCCCTGCTATTAGTCCCATTGATGCTTGCATTCCCACTTGATTACAAACCTCAATGTTGAGAGAAAATAGGATAGAAGAGCTTAAATGCACTTTTAAACAAGTAGATTTCAAAATAAGTATATACTGTTCTCAAACAAGAGTATGGTCACAACTGTAATCAAAGAAAGTAACGAACCTGAGGTTGACCTGATACAATAATTGTGCGAATCTTCAAAAGTGAAACATTCATTTTTTGGAGATAACTTTCTAGGTCAGCGATGGCCTCTTTTATCGCAATGATTTTCTGGATTGTGTTCGAAGGTGGCTGATCACGTATAGTGACCTGACCAAAGGATCGTCCTAGACGACCTTGTGCTCTGAGCCCTTTAAATAAGAGCATGGTGGTTGCTAAAATCATCAGAGTAATAGGGAACACATATGCAAGCAAGTTCCTGGCAAAAGAAAAAATATCATATGCAACCAGACATACTCACGTAAAACACTAAATCGCAAAGTTCTTCAAACTTGAAAGCATAGGGAACCACATCATGATAAGGATTCATAGCATATCAACTGCAATGATCACACTTCATAATAAAACAATATTCTACAATCATACTACTTGCAAATTGAAATGGAGAGCCAAAATTTGAGGCTCGTCCACAGAACCACTTGTTTTATTCAGTTGTCCTGAAAACCAATCGATCAAAGAAATAAATTACAATTTATATACATCAAATTCTGCTCCACGAAGGCCAAATACTATGAGTTCCTTCGTAATATAGAGTAATATGTCTTGCAAATGTAAAATATCGTAATCCAACAGTCACCAAGCCTTCAGGTAAATATAAACTTAATTGGGAGATTTTTATGGGATCCAATCAAGGGGGCAAGGACACTGCACAAGATCATTTTTATTCAAACGCTAACATGCAATGATTACATTGAACGTTTTTGGGCTGGTCATGGGGATGTTTCTGGTGTATGATACCCCCGAATTGTGTACATCTTTGTGTGCACATGTGAACACATGGGAGTTATATGTATTTTCTACATGTATTACAATTGATAAACAATATCAAATTTATAAGAACTACTCAATAGTATGAAGATATTGAATCATCACTTTTGTCAATGTTTTAAAAAATGGTCCGCCTGGCTCCTAGGCGCCCTGGATCAAAAATCCGTATGCCTAGACCCAAGCGGCCCTACATGAGCGGATGTACCTGGGCGGGCGCCCAGGGCCGTTAGGCCTTTTTCATTTTTTTAAATCGCCCAAAAGGCAAAAAGGTTCATTTTCACCCCCCAAGGTTGTATAAAAATGTTATGGGGTTTATTTTTAACCCCCAAAGTGAAAAAAAAAAAAACCCTCAACCCCCGAAGTGAAAAAAAATTACAGGGTGCCTGAGGTTCTGGGCGCCCGCCTAGGCGTTGGGCGCCAGGCAGGCCGCCTCGGGGCCGCCTAGCGTTTTTTGAAACCTTGACTTTTGTAAGATACATATGAATTCTAGTATTCATGTGTACCTAAAATGAGACATTTGTTGCATAGCGTACCTACTCAGTATGGCTTGTGTGGCACAAGAGAGTGCCAGAAGAAACTTTACACTTATATTAGATTTCTTTATTTCTAATGATAATGCAAGACAATAGGGTGAAACTAGAAGCCTGGAAAAGGGCAAACAAAAATGTAAACCTAAAAAAGAACTGGATTTTGGCGATTATAAGTTTCAGAATTCACACAAGGGATAGCTGACTTAAGCTCTATAGAGTAAGGGTACAAATACGGATGTTTCTGCCTCCAAAATAAAATGCTGATCTGTAATGTCAATATGTCGAGCATATGCAAATCCGCTCTACTACAAGCAAATTCAATATCTAAATGCAATGTGTCACAATGAAACAATGCAAATAGTTAGAACAATGGAAAGGTAGATAATTTTCTACAGAAACAAGAGCACAGACAACTTAGTTACTCAAATCTTCCTCTCAGTAATCTAAATCAAATGATATCCATGGACAAGTCAACCAAGAATTTAGAATGACCACCATGATCAACACCCGATGTCTGGAAGCTACCAAATTGATATGCAAGACTGAGATCTCAACTAAGCATCACAAACAACTCCTTGAACATCAGTTAGCAATAACTCAGATCCCCAGGTAACTTTCTTTGATCTGTGTGAACTAGTCACAATTGAGGGCTAAAGAGGATGTCTTGAGGGAGTACAAGATAGATACACATACACACACATTAAAATACACACACACACACACACATTAAAATACACACGCACACAAAAATATTATATGAAACTACTCCTAAAACCTACAATAGCAAATCAAAATTTAGCAGGATACAGACCGTCAACTCATTACTCTGAGAGAATACAAAGATTATTTTGGGAGAAATCATGCAGAAACTTATGCACCAAATATCGCTCAGGTCTCTGCCACCAATAATTGAGAATCCGAGATATCATTTTTGCTAGAGGATATAAATATCTTATTCAGATACTTAGAGCTTCTAGTTGTTTTTATTAATATTACCATTGATAATCAATGTTAATTAGATACACTGAACACAATGGTGGCTGCCCTCAGTTTTACTTATAAGGGTTAATCTCAAATATGCGTACCTGAATATAAGAGTGTAGAAAAATGCAAGGAAAGATATAGTTGAGAGTGGCTCCTCCCAGCACCTAAGCTTTTCAAAACTTTCACCTAAAATTGTGAAAGGAAGTATAAGTTCCTGCATGGTGAAAATTGTCAAATCTTTAATGGTCTCCAAGGTAATAGCAAGCAACAAATTTGACATACATTTGGATGCTTAGGAATAAGTATACACTTTTCTGGCATGCGAACCAAACTTTCTACACAATAATGAAAACATCATCCCCATATATAAACTGCAGAATGTTGCCATTGACAAAAGAGAAGTTGTCACCCCTTAACAATTAGGAAGAAAACTAGATGATTGAAGCATCTAAGAAGCTGTCCACAAGATGAAACTGATCCAAAAGGGAAATGGAGCTTCTTGGTTTCAAACAATGTTCAAAAAGGCATAGGCGGACGGGTGGACTATTAATTAAGATGAAAGTTATATTATAATTATTATTTATTAATTAATATCCATAAGATTTGGTTTTGGATATCAAATATTCACCAAAAATCAATTTTATCCAAAGTTTAAGACCATTAACAAAAGCCCAATTTCATCGTCCAAACAAGGAAAAATTCAATAAATCACAAAAAAATTCAATCTTTCAAATACAAACATATAAATGTAACGTAAAAGAAAAAAAAAAAAACAAATGATTCACAACAAAATACATTATAGCAAAATCAAATTAAAAGATTCAAAACCCTTATTCGAATATGATAATACTTTGAAAATATCAAAATCAAAATGATGACGGTGCAAACGTCGTCCATTCGGTTGTCAAAAGTCCTCAAAATCGACTACTAGAAGCTCCAAAAACACTTACGAATTACTGCCTTTGTTTTGGAAAGAAATAAAAAAATAAAAAATTTATCGATCTTTCGGTAAAACACAAAAGAGAGGTTTTTGGAGGAGTTTTTCTCTCTCTAAAAGGCACGGTTTTGGTTTTGGGGGTTTAGAATATCCCCCAAAACCCTTTTTCCCCCTTTTTAGGAGGAAAAATGACAAATTTCGACCCTCACCAAGGGTTTTTTTCGCCATTTGACAAACTGTCATGAGGCAGCGCCTAGACATAGGACGCCTAACAGTCCCACCTAACTAGCGCCTAAGCATTTTTGAAATTTTTCTGCCTAGGCAGCTGGGCGGGCGAATTTTCGAACATTGGTTTCAAATATTCATCGAAAATGGTTCACAAAGTATGCTTTATTGACGTTCATTAATCTCTAGTATGCCAAGCACACAGAGAGCAGACAGGGAAAGGCTATGCATGGAAATCGCAAATTAAGTTCTTTGACATCACCTTTCATGACAGAGTTGTTGAAATGAGGAGTCCTTGGGAAGTGGAATACACATTACAAATTGCTAGATATCTAGGAGATATAGAGAACAAAGCAAGATTTAGAGAACAAATCCAGTCATTATATGCTTTTCTCATATTTTGACAAGAAAATGTAAAGAAACAACACAGCAACAAGGGCTTTCATAGATTTTATTTATATATACTTCAAAATAGCTTTCATTTTCCAGATTCAAACGCATATTCTTAACATGCCTCGTCTAAATCTCAACCATACTTCAAAAGAATCTTTCAAATGGATGAGTCTCTATCAATCACATGCGCTACTGACAATCGCTATTGATCGACTGGAAACTTTACTCTACAGAAATAGGATAAAAATGCTTTCCAATCTAAGATAGAGTATCAAGAACTAAACAAAGAAACCAGAAGACAATCTTTGTAACAATATCACGTATCACATCATTCTAATTAGATTAGTGTGTTCGGAATTCACAAACTTGAGAGCAACCGCAGATTTATCAAGGAGATTTGAGGCATGACTGACATTGTAATGACATTGCTTTCATCTTGTGTTAATTAACTCGTCTCTTTCAGCATAAATGCCTCTAGAATATCATTTCCTTGTATAATAAATTGTCAACATCGGTCAAATATTTCTCATTAGAAGTGTTCTGCAAAAAATAGTATTCCAGAAACTAATTATGAAGCTAATACATCGGAGTCAGATTGCTCTTGTTTGATATGTTTGGAGACAGAAATTTTAGTTATACAAGCTATAAATTAGAGTCAAAATATTCTTTTTTGATATGTTCAGGGAATCATTTTATTGGCATGAAAAATTTGCTATTTCGAACATATTTTTCCCAAAAAAGGCATTGTTATTTCTAAAATCAAGTGGATCTATGATGAACAAACACATAAACATAGTATATGATGAATACACAACCCACCTTGAAGAGGTCAACATTACTGGGAATTCCTTTGATCATTGCAGCATCTATTGTGGCCTGTGTCTTCTCCACCTCTCTGCTTTTCTCCTTACAATTTAAAGCAGCCCTTTCCACCAGATTTCTATCAGCCACTACAAGATTTTTCCCTAGAGCCACCCCTTGCTTCACCGAGCAATTCTTCCAAAAGGCAATGGATTCACTAAAAGCCCAAGAAGGAGATCTCATCCACTTCCTCAAGTAAATGCCCCCATCTATATCAAACACATGTTGACTAGTGCCTGGAAGATCTTCAGATTGTCTCATTCCAACAGTGAATTGATGGTCCTTCCCCCTAAATTTTGTAACCAAGGGGCCAGCCCAGAAATTGAGAGCCAAAGTTTGGTAAACAATAAACCCATCTGGAGCATCCTTCAAATAAGAGAATTGCACAAGGTTTGCTGGATCCTTATACAATCTCCGAATAAATTGAAGGGATTGCAGCCTTGCAATGCTGTTTGCTGCACTTCTAATTGCTTTTGACTTCCCTTTGTGAGCACCATATACATGTTGGAGTGATGGGTCATTATCCTCAGGTCCATATTCATGGATAAACTTGTGTAAAGATATGATTTCACTAACAAATGCATACCAAACATCCCGTCTCATTTCTCCAGCAAAATCAACAAATTCGAGAACCCAGGTTTGGGATCTGTTCAATATAATTACATCAATAAAACAGAAGTTTAGCAAGTTAGCATTGGCGGACAGAGACAACAACCGAATGAAACTTCTCTATTCATATATTAAGACAAAATCATAGGATTGATCCTGGGCTACCTGCATCGATATGTGGGTGCCCCAAAAACCCATGATTATAAGCACAAATCTGGACCTATCAAGCTTCTTTTTCTTGACCATGCTATCCTACACAATCTGGTACTTGAAATAGCAGACTAAAATTTTGTTCTAAAGAATTGTCATAAAAAAATATTAAATTCCAAAATGGAGAGGTCATAAATTGATACAGTTTCAATACAATTTGCCATTTTTCCTCAGTCCTAGGTTTGGACATTGGACCATACTTCTGTAACAATGAATGTTAGTTTGTTCTTTTCAATAGTGGACAGGGCAGAATGGTTAAAAAAAAAATGAACTGGTCCAGGCACATGGTTATAATCGCTCATTCTTGGGGCACCTGCATATATATGCAGGTGTTCCAGGCACTATCCTAATATATGCTTTTATTATTTTAACGAATAACAGATCTTTTAGTCTGCTTTCCTTCTGACAGGTTGGCATTAAAAGGAGATGTTAATTTATTGAATACAAGTAGGAAACTGGTAGTTTCGGTACACCCGAGTTCAGTTCTGAACGAAACCTACCTAATATAGTCATGCATATGTCCGAAAATTCTGATCAAAGAAAACCTTTTGGAACATATATTATGCCCTGGTATCATTAGCGTTAGATCTGAAGTAGAGTATATACAATGAAGTCCACACTACAACACATTGGAATTCCGGAATTGAAAGGGTTATGATTCAGAAGAGCATGATAAATAACAACACAAGCAAAGCTGTACATCTCCACTCCATAGAACAATGAAAAAACAAAGTCCATTGTGGTCATCATCCAAATAAATGGTCGGTGATGGAAATAAAATGAAACCCAGCATCCGGGTCAGTCAAATTCTGGTGGGTCCCACTCTCTCCATCATTGTCCACATCATTGGCCCAATGGACTATGATTTCCCATGGTCCAAAAAATATATGGTTATACTCTACCACAGCACGAAAGATACAAGCTGCTAAGCATGAGGTGTTTCGCTTCACAAAAATAGCATAAGATTCAAATAAAAGAGCAGGATGGTTGTGCTCACTCAGAGCCAGATGAAACAGAGATAGCAGAGTCAAAAAGTGCAGAGCCCAGAGGTCCAACTTTGCTTTTCTCAACATGTGCCATAGATCCTGTAAGATCCAATCTTATAGGTTCTCCATGTCCTGTAATGCCAATTGCCTGCAAATTAAAACCCTAGTAAAAAGCTGAATAGAGGCAACTTCCTTAACATCAGCAGGGGCCAAGTTCAGTAGGAATCCAATGGAAGTCATAGCTGGTAGCTTTTCTTTTCTTCTTTAATATATATATAAAAAAGAGTGACTATCACTTGTATATGGCAATTCCAAACAACACAGAAACATAGAAATTTCTACGATACGTTCACTTTTCAAATCTAAAGTAGTACTCATTTGCTTTATAGAAAGCATAATACTAATAAGAGGTTCCAAAACAGATTCAAAGGTTTGGGGCATATATATA